CAGACAGACTTTTCATCTACCATCTCTAAATATATATGCTTATATATACACATATGACTGTGCATGATTAGCAGTGAAATTCATTCATATTTTTATATTGTGGAATATACAATTTTAAGTTGGTCCCTCAGTGTCTGTTTTAATTCTTTCATTTTCATTTCTAACTCTGTTAATCTGGGTAATCTTTTCCATTTGGTCATTTTGGATAAAGGTTTGTCAATCTTATCAATCTTCTAAGATTTTTTTTTTGTATTTTTTTCATTAATTTCTGCACAGAGGGTGACTATTTCTTCCTGCCTTCTCATTTTTTATATTATTTTGATTTTACAAGAATTCAAGTTCACATTTAATTTATTAATTTAAGGTTTTCTCATTGATTTGATATATGTGTAAACTTAAATATCAACCCTGTTTTCTTGGAAAAACAAAATAGAATTTTCTTCATTTTATTTTATTATATTTATTAAAAGAGAAATAAAGCTATCTTTTTTCACTTTACATACAAATCCCAGTTCCTACTCCCTCCCCTCTTCCCATTCCCTCCACTTTCCTTCCCACCCCATCCCCCATCTACTCCCCAGAGAGGGCAAGGCAAATTGCTTTGGGGAAGGTCCAAGGTACTCCCCACTATATCTAGGCTGAGCAAGGTATCCATCCAAAAAGAATGGGTTCCCAAAAAGTGACTACAAGCAGTAGGGATAAATCCTGGTGACACTGTCAGTGGTCTTGCAGACTGCCCCAATCATACAACTGTCACCCACATTCAGAGGGTCAAGTTTGGTCCTTATGCTTGTTCCTTCCCTATCCACCTGGAGTTGGTAAGCTCCCATTAACTCACCTAAACTGTTGCAGTGGGTGCCCCATTCATGGTCTTTACCTCTTTGCACATATTCTCACTGCCTCCACTCTTCATCTGGACATTGGGAGCTCAGCCCAGGGCTCCACTGTGGGTCTATGCCTCTGTTTCCATCAGTTGCTAGATGAAGGTTCTATGGTGACATTTAAGATAGTCATCAATCCGACTACAGGCAAGAACAGTTTGAGCACCTTGTCCTTTAATGCTTAGGACAGGTCTTAACTGGAGTTATCCTTGTGGATTCCTTGGAATTTCTCTAGTGCCAGGTTTCTTGCTAGCCCCATAATGGCTCCCTCATTCAAACTTCTCTTTCCTTGCTCTCCATCTCTGTCCTTACTAGGTCTCCACTGTCTTGTTCTCTCAAGTTCTCCTTTCCCAAACTTTCTCTCCTCCTTTTCCCCTCCCACCCTCCCTTCTCCCGTGACCCCATGCTCCCAATTTTGTCTGGCAATCTTGTCTATTTTGCCTTTCCAGTTGGATCTACATATATTTTTCTTAGGGTTCAACTTGTTATTTAGCTTTTCTAGGGTTGTGGACTCTAGGCTAATTATCCTTTGCTTTACAGCTAGTATCCACTAATGAGTGAATGAATACACAACATGTATATCTTTCTAGGTCTTGGTTACCTCATACAGAATGGATTTTTCTAGTTCCATCCATTTGAATGTAAATGATGCTGAATGTAAACATGTAGAAGAATGAAAATAGACCCATATCTATACCCATGCACAAAACTCAAGTCCAAATGGATTAAAGACTTCAATATAAATCCAACCATAGTAAACCTGATAGAAAGGAAAGGTTCAATGCATGGTCACAGGAGTCCACTTCCTAAATATAACCACAGAAATACAGAAACTGAGAGGAACAATAAATAAATGAAATCTCCTTAAACAGAAAAGTTCTGTAAAGCAAATACACAGTCAATAAAACTAAAAGGCAGCATGCTTCATGGGAAAAGATCTTCACGAGCCCCACATCAGATAGAGGACTGAAAATATATATAGAACTCAAAAAATTAGACATCAAAATTCCAAATAGCCCAATTAAAAGTAGGGTACATAACTAAACAGAGAATTCTCCACAGAAGAGTTTCAAGTGGCCAAAAGACACTTAGGGAAATGTTCAACATCCTTAGCCATAAGAGAAATGTAAATTAAAACAACTCTCAGATACCATCTCAATCCATTCAGTATGGCTAAGATCAAAAACACCAATGATAGCTTATACTGGACAGGATGTGGAGTAAGGGGAATACTCCTTCATTGCTGGTGGAAATGCAAACTTGTACAAACACTATGGAAATCAGTATAATGGTTTCTCAGAAAACTGGGAATCAACCTAACTCAGGACCCATCAATACCTCTCTTGGGCATATACCCAAAGGATGTACGATAATATTATAAAAACATTTGATCAACCATGCTCATAGCAGCATAATTTGTAATAGCCAGAACCTGAAAACAACCTAGATGCCCCTCAACCAAAGAATGGATAATGAAAATGTGGGATTCTCTTTATTTCATACCACAAATTTTGATATGCTCACTTTTCATTTACATTCTATTTTTAGAATTTACTTTTTCTTCTTGATTTCTTAACCCCTTCCACTCAGCAGTGTATTGTTTAATTTTCATGAGTTTGTACACTTCCTGTAGTTTCTATTACATTCTATATCTAGTTTTATTTCATTGTAGTCAGATGAAATGTAGGAAATTATTTCAACTACCCTATATTTTACAGGATTCTTTTGTGTGCTAATATATAAACAAATAGTGCTACACTAAAACTAAAAAATTCCATATTTCAAATAAAATATTATTTTTTTCCTTTTCAATTTGGTCTTTTATTATTTTTATTTCTTTAATAATTTTTAGGGTGTTTTTGAGAGCAAGTCTCACTGCATCTCATAAACAACCACCTGTCTCTGCCTCCTGAGTGCAGGGATTAAAGGTGTGTGCCACCACTGCCCAGCTATGACTTTCTTTTATCTTTTTCACTTGAGTTGTATTTTTATTTTATACTACAGTAATACAAGCATTTGTTGCAAAGAGGGGCTGCTTGTTCATCACAGACTCCTGGCTAGAATAGCCCTGAAATAAAACACAGAAACTGCATTAATTCAATCACTGCTTGGTCCATTATCTCTAGTTTCTTATTGGCTATCTCTTTATTAATTTAACCCATTTCTATTAATCTTTGTGGCAGTGGCTTACCAGGTAAAATTTCAAGCGTCTGTCTCTGGGGGATCCGTGCTGTATCCCCTCACTCCACCCTTCTTTCTCCAAGCATTCAGTGTTGTCTTCCTTTCCTACGTAAGTTCTGCCCTATCAACAGGCCCAACATCTTTATTAACCAATGAAAGCCACACAAAGACAGAAGAACCTCCTACACCATTTCTCCTCTGTTTAAAGAAAAAGGAAGGCTTTAACTTTAACATAATAAAATTACATATAACAAAACAGTTATCAAGCAAGAATTACAGTTACAATATTTACATCTACTTTATCTTTTATAATAACTAATGAAAATTATAACTATATCATAGACTCCAGAAAGATATAATATTACCTATGTAAGCTGGAAGTGCATTGTAAGCAACTTCCAAAACTCTAGAATTGACAGAGACATCTCACTGTCTGGACAGTCACCCAAAGTTTTTCGGGTACCATCAGGGCATCCATCTTCAGCCTACAGGCCCATAGTATCAAGCAGACTTTTCCATAAAGCAGGAAATTTCAAAGACAGATCAATCATTTCCTTCTGTATCCTGCAGAATATCTTGCAGACTCCTTCATGAAGCAGGAACCCCAAAGGATCATTTCACCTCTAAGCATGCTCAGCAGTCATTTCTCTGTGGGTCTTACATGTCCAGGCAAGAACAGTTTCTTGCCCAAATGGCTAACCAACTACATAAGTAGCCTCTTTGATGCCCATCTTCCTCTTGAAGTAGATTGGTGCTGCCAGGAGCAGATGTATCTAATTGTCATGAAAAGTCCTAAATCTTTAAAACATTTAAATTCCATATTCTGAAGGTCTCTGAAAGATTTGAAGAATACCTAATTCACTGAAATATATATCTATACATCTAGTAAATCTAACATGACTACATTCTTGACTATTATAGATGGTTATCTATTAACCTATATTTCTTAATTATACATTACATTTTTAAATGAACTACACAATCATAATACCCTAATCAAGATTAGAAATACATATACATATAACAAAATTAAAGTCAAGATTGCCTGACTTTCTTTTCTTAATAATATTATATTTATTGTTAGAATTAGTGTGGGTATGATTTAGAACAGTGATTTTCAACATTCCTAAAGATACAGTCCTTTAATACAGTTCCTTATCTTGTGGTAACCCTGCCATAAAATTATTTCATTGCTACTTATAACTGCAATTTTGCTGTCATTATGAATCATAATGTAAATATATGATACTTCCTATGGTCTTAGATGACCCCTTTGAAAGGGTAATTTGACCACCAAAGTGGTCAAAACCCACATGTTGAGAACTCCTGATTTAGAAGATATAGTAAACAGAATTGATTGAAGATGAAACTTTGAAATAGAGAGTTAAACACACAAAATTATACACCACTTTTGATGAATGAGAAGGAAGCAAACAATGAATCAAAGAAATAAATAAATTCTCACAATGTTCTGTCGATTCCAGTTAACAAACCATCATCACTGGGATTCGAGTGGTAAATACGTTGGGTCAAAGGAAGAGATTTTTATTCCAGCATGTTTTGTATAACAGAATAGTCATCAGTAACTTATATTCATGACAGAACTATTTAAATTACACATTCATTGAGGCATAAAACATCATGTGTACAGGAAGAACATTAAAAAATGCACTTCATGTAGAGATTTTCATTTTCCTTCATCATCAATTACATCACTTATTACATATTGATGTCCTTGAAATAATTTATAGATTGCTCTTTCATTTGTAGATATGTCAACAATAAAAGTCATATCAAACTTTCCATAAAACTAGTCATGCTGTTTAAGTAAAATAATATCAAACAAATCCCAACATTACCAATAAGGAAGCATGGAAGAAATATAAATACTAAGAATGAACAACTCCTGTTTCATTCAATGATTTGAGAAGAGAAAAGTGCTGTAACTGTATATCCATTTCTGATTTTTTGATAACAAGGCTAATTTGAATTGCTGTAGAAGAGAGAAGAATAAAGAAATAGGATGAGGATTCTTCTGCTGTTTGCTGTGGTATACTCTGTTTGGGCTACCAATCAACCTCCATCTAAAATGAAACTTCAGACTGACAAAGACTCTTCAGAGGTATTAAGTGAAATCTGACCATGGAATGAAAAAGTGTGTCTGAGAAGGTTTTGCTGTTTGTCCATGTTTGCATATGTTTTTATGATCCTGTGTGCATACACATTATTCATTCTTATTTATGTATAAAGGTTATTTAACAAGCAGATGTGTTCAGGTCACTCCCTATACCTGAAAGAGTTTGAACTTGCTGTCTTTTCCAAATCACAGTTGTTTTTTTTTTTTTAACGTAAGGATGTTAGTGATACCACTGTATTTCAACAGTAACTTGACTTTGACATATTTAGTTTTTCATATCAAAATATCACCATTTACACATGGATCTCAACAATTAATTCATATTTTATAGCTCGTATCTGTATGCAATATAAAAGTGATTTCATATCGGCTATTTTTCCTATGTGAAAAACAGATGCAGTGAGTATTATAGGTGTTGAGGGGGAAAAGGAAACAGTAGATTAGGGGAAATGGTTCTGTTAGTATGAGGATGAGGAGAACACACTAAGAGAACCCCAAAATTCTTTTAAAATGTTAGGCATCCTGGCATGAGATGGCAGAGACAGCAGCATCCCTGTGGTTCAGTCTCCACATAGTACAGTGAATTGGTGAGTTCTGGAAGAGTTGGAGAATCTTTATCACAAAATTAATGTGGACAGTGATTGAGCAAGACACCTAACTTTGACCTCTGACAGCCACACATGCATTCATGAATTCTGTTCTACAAACACACACACACACACACACACACACACTCACACACACACATATTCACTGACCTTCCTAACGGGCCTTTTCCCTCGTAGTTTTCAGGGAATTTTCGCTCAATTTACTTAACATCTAGTGACGCAAAGATGCCAAAAGAAAATGGATTTCTGAGAATTTATACTCGTAACATTAGATATTATCTTAATCGTAATAATTCTAAAAAATTATCAGTCAGTTTTAACACAAGGTAAGTGACTTTTTAAATTTTAAGATGAGAAACATGTAGAATTATTGCTGGCAAAACACATTAACTATGTGTGGTTGCTCATAAGAGAATTTGATGACACTACTTTACTTGGTCATAATTTCTAAGATCATGTTATAATCTCAACATCTATGTGAATAAATGTTAGGATCACATAAAATTTTCTAAAGTATCTTTATGTTCATGAAATATGAAGACAGTAAGAATGGAACCTTGCTCTTCATATTTTGCAATTTTTTGGTAACTAAATTTACACATGCTCAAACCGGTCTTTATTTCTGTATACAGTTAAAAATGAGTCAGAATTTGTGCATATCTCTCCACCTGTTAATTGATGGTAGTATAAGCATACACCATGTGGTCTAATTTGTTTTGTATTTGTAAAATGTTTCATGTCAACTGAAAATAGTCTACAGAAACACAAATTAAACAATGCATAATGATGTAAGTCTAAACACTGGGCATTTGACAGCCAGAGACAAAAATCTTCACAAATTTCTAGCAGATCTGATTGGCTTAGTGAGTTACAGTCTAGCCAAGGATACACAGAAATTAATAGTCTGAAAAAACCCACTTATAGACAAAAAAAGATACATAAAATTCCATTTCATACAAGAAAATATACTGTCCTAACAGTCAAGAAATAATTTTAATCAAAGTGTAAAAACAGAGTTTTTGATAAAAATTATTCTAGCTAGCATTTATTTTCAACTTGTAATAGCATAGAATGAACTGGAAAAAAGAAAAAAAACAGCTGAGTAATTATCATTATTAGATTGACCTATGGGCATATTCATGGGAGGTTGCCTTAATTTCTGTTGGTGAATGGGCAGGCCAATATGAGCCACAGTCAACCTTAAAATGTGGTCCTAGGCTGTATGAAAATGCTGCCTAAGGATGGACCTCCAAGAACATGCCAATAAGCATGGTTTCTGCCTTATCTCACCTTCAAAGATAAACTATTACCAGAAAGTGTAAACAAAACAAATTCTTTTCTCATTCATTTTCTTTTTCTCAGAATGTTTTACAATAGAAAAAGAATGGAACTTGAAAATACTGAAGGTATTTTGTTGACTATAATTAAAATATGATCATTTACGAAAACATATACAACTGATATTTAAGTTTCAAAAATGAGTTAGGACACTCTCTCAATATTATAGCTATCACAAAAAGTTTTAAAAACAATACAAACAAAAATCCAAATCAAGCTAACCAATCAGCTAAAAAGAAAACAAAACAGAAAAAAATTGCATGATGCAATTTTTTCTTGTGCAGTTTTTTTTCTTACTTGAACATGACTTCAATTTTCCAATTGTAGACTTGTGTTCTAAAAACCAGAGTTGGTGAGAATCTGATAAAAGCTGTGGTGTGTTGTACTTACCTCAGAACCCAGCCTAGCAACTGAAGGATTGAATCAGTTGGATCAGTATTTTATAGGTCACCACAGTTTCAGAATAAATTGAGGACTAACCTGAGCTTTTTAAACCCTGGTCTCCAATGAAAAATAACAGACAGAGAAAAAGAACAAGCAGAAAATAAAAAGAATTGTTTATTATTTGGGGTATATTAGATACCACTATAAATTCTTTTAAATCTTTAAAGTATATTTTCAACTTGAATGTATAAAAAGTTGATTGCCGTAGAACTTGATACAAAAGGAAGGATGAGCAAGAAAGATTTTATGAAAAATTGTAGTGTTATGCACAATGTTCAAAAAATGAACATAAAGGTGTATATTAAAGATGAGAAATAAATGCATTTTAGAAGCAAATTCTGATATTGAAATAGAATACCCTTTGATTATTGCTGAATTATTTTAGTTTTTCAATGGAAATAATTAATATATTAATTTATATTTGTGTTTCAGATTAGGGTATTTTAATCAAAGAATGTTCTTATAAACATGCCTTTCTGTCAAAATACTGATAATACAGGCCAAATTTGTTTTAAAAGTGAAAAAATGTGACCCCAAAATAATATATTAATAAATGGGAATATGATATGTAAATTAGAATATTGGCAGTAGTATATCAAGTTTTAGCTAGTAAGTACACAACTCAGATTTTCTTTATTTGTGATCTCTATGCTCTGCTCATTGTAGATTTAACTGATGTCCTCAATTAAACATTGCCAATAAAAATTGAAGTGCATCTTGTAGTAGTTTGATACTTTAGGAAACTATTATTCATAATTTCCTGCACTCAAAGTTTGTATTAGTGAATCAGAGAAATATTTTGGGATAGAATAAAGAAAATTTTAAATATGTGCATATATAAAATACAGAGATTACTTTTTACCATGATGTGTGTTGAGGCCTTTCAAGACCTGAATGTAAATCTCTACCAACATGTGAAGAAAATCTCTTCTATCTCATTTATTAGGTGGCAACTCTTGACAATCACCAGCTCTAGGTCATTAACTCAGTCAGAATCTTTTTACAATATGGAGACACATTCTTTTTGCACTACAATGATCTGTTCAAACGATAGATAATTTTAAAACTGGCAATTGGGTATGGAAAGAACCACACTGTAGAAAGGACAATGAGTACGATGAATATAAAATACGAATGCTTACTTAAGATGAAAAATAACATATTTGTAATAACAAGTGGTGAATAACAGATAACTCCTTGCATTTAGGGAGGATGACAATTGTGAAAACCATACTGTTGTAGAATACATTGGAAATCTCGTTCTTGACAAGCAAGGTGTGTATCCAGTCTTTCAGGATGACTGTGCACAACAAATTCTTCAGTACATTCAGCTTGGCAATTTCAATGAATTGTTTTACAGCTACCACCAACTTCTTGAGAAAAGCAGCATAAAGAAGCGAAATTCATTTTGTCTCACCCCCCTCCCCCAGGGAACACCACTGATTCACAGAAGAAAGAAAATGGAGAATATACTGGTTCCAATAGTCTCTGGGCCTTAACTACAAGATTCCGTACCATCCCATATTTCTGGATTTACTCCCCAGATCTTGGAAAGAGAGGTTTGTAAAATCTCAAAACCTGCACCCATATTATCTAAGTCATTCTTTTAAAAATATTGCGCAAGTATATGTACAATACTACAAACACAAGATTATGAGAGACATCACATACTCAAATAAAATGAAAAGTCATTCTAGTTCTTGAGGTTATAAAACATTATTTAGTTTTTGACATTACAGTTACATAATTCCTCCTTTTCCTATCCTCTGTTCAAATATATCTATATGTTGCTCCTTGCTGTTTTTCAAAATCATGACATTTTTCATTAATTATTATTATATTCATATACATATATTTGACATGTATCATATACTTTATATGAAATAATACATAAGTTCTTGTGGTCTACTGAATTCTCAAAATATAGCAACTGTTTTTTTTTTTTAAGCTTAACAAAATAGACATGAAGCTGGGTGATGTTGGCGCACGCTTTTAATCCCAGAACTCGGGAGGTAGAGTCAGACGGATCTCTGTGAGTTTGAGACCAGCCTGGTCTACAGAGCTAGTTCCAGGACAGGCTCCAAAGCCACAGAGAAACCCTGTCTCAAAAAAAAATAGACATGATTCCTCATTAATGATGTTTATGAGAATGGAAACAATAGTCAGACTACTTAGTCTTTTATTTATGTAAGTTGAGTATGGCATGAAACCAAGAACTAAAACATTCAAATAGTAATCATAAAATTTGAAGTAATTTTTTATCATAATATTTTTATTGGTTATTTATGAAATTTTTATAATGTATCCCTGTAACACTTACTTCTCACTTCCCATGTCTGATCTCACACTTCTGGTCTTCTCCCCAAAATATTTTAAAAGTCCAATTTGAGTTACAATATTTAATATTTTTTATATATCAATCTTTCAACCCAGAGGAGAGGTGCAAATATAGAACTCTGAAAACATGAACCATGTTTTAATTAGTTGGTAATCTTAACTATATATCTTCTTATTTTTTATGTGCATATGAAGTTATTGGATTAATTGAGAAATTGAATGAATGAAAGATAGTTCTAGGATGTTTTAAATATCAATGAGCCACTTGCTATTTCTGTGGGAAATCATTGAGAAGTAATTTTAATAATTTAGGAAATTGAGTGGTCATTAAATGTATTAACCAAACATACTCAGCTATTGAAGCTGCAAAGAATGTTTGAATGTTCTATTCTACTTATGTAGATCCTGTTTCAAGTTTCATTGTAGCACTGAATTAACATAGTATCTAGTAATATTTGTGGAACATTGGAATATTCTGATCTTTTTAGTTATTTGATATTTTCACATCTTCATACATTTGAATTTTGATCAAATTACCACCTCAATCCACCATTTTTAACTCTTCCATAATCTACTCATCATTTCTCTCTCCCAATGTAACATAATTTTATATACACCTTTTTATTCATTTAGCATTATCAGTATGTGCTTGGGTATAGAAACATCCACAAAAGCATGGGCAAGCTATTTGTGTAAACTGTTGAAGTAATGTTGTTCTTTCTCTCTTGGCATCTATCAGCTCCCAACATCTTCTCTGTTTTGTGTGGACATCAACTGATCATTCACTATTAATGTTGGAATTTTACCTGTCTTGATCTTGTAGACGTATCTACTTCTGCTATGATTTCTTAAATATAATGGCCCTGACATATCCAAATAATCTACTTCTAAACAATCTTTTAAAACCTCAAGGTTTACCAATGTTTCCAAGACTTATTATGTAAAAATCCCTGAGGTTTGGTAGCAGTATGGGAAAATATAGAAGCCTCATGTGGTAATGAAAATTCCAGGGTTGGTTACTCATTCCATGCATATCAATGCTGACTCTGAATTAATCACCATGTACTGAAAGATTAGTTTTCCTGACAAGAACTGAGAGTTTCACTAATCTCTAGGTGTGAAGTCAATTTTTTAGATAAAGTTTGATATGAACATTTAACCTATGACCTATGTAGCCACTGCTTTTTACGACTTATGAATTAATTGGGACTAGGAATGTTTTCTCTTTTATGTAAAGGATATTGAATTGCTTTCCTTATTCAATATTTTTCTATATGTGTGCAACATACTGCTTTTTGGGTATTAGCACACACTGATTATTTTGATGTAAGAACTCACAATGCTATACTCAAAATGAGACTTAAATGGTTAGTATTCATAATGCTCTAAATTCCAAACTCTTATTTCTTCTCAGTCTCAGGCATGGCTCAATTTTCATTGATTAAAGTGTCAGATACCACCATCTTGTTTCAAGTTTTCTATATTAAAAACAGTGGGAAAACAATCAATATGACAGCAGCATTGTGTAAGTATCATATCTGATTGTATGTAGGAAAACTCTTGTTTGAAATTTGAGTGTGGGGATGGAGAGATGGCTCAGAGTTTGAGAGCACTGACTGCTCTTCCAGAGGTCCTGAGTTCAATTCCCAGCAACCACATGGTGGCTCACAACTATCTGTAATGGGGTCTGGTGCCCTCTTCTGGCCTGCAGGGATACACACAGACAGAATATTGTATACATAATAAATAAATAAATCTTTAAAAAGGGGGGGGGGACTGTAGAGATGGCTCAGAGGTTAAGAGCACTGGCTGCTCTTCCAGAGGTCCTGAGTTCAATTCCCAGCAACCACGTAGTGGCTCACAACCATCTGTACTGAGATCTGGTGCCCTCTTCTGGCGTGTGGGCATACATTGAGGCCAAATGTTGTACACATAATAAATAAATAAATCTTTAAAAAAAAAAGAAATTTGCCAGGCGATGGTGGCGCACGCCTTTAATCCCAGCACTCGGGAGGCAGAGGCAGGCGGATCTCTGTGAGTTTGAGACCAGCCTGGTCTACAGAGCTAGTTCCAGGACAGGCTCCAAAGCCACAGAGAAACCCTGTCTCAAAAAACAAAATAAATAAATAAATAAATAAATATATAAATAATAAAATAAAAATTAAAAAAAAAGAAATTTGAGTGTGTATTTTACTGAACAAAGAGACCAGGTACCCAAGGAAGTGTTTAGAAGAAATAAGTGTTTCCAAATATCATTATTAATGATGTGCTTTACAGAATTTTTATTTCCAATACCTTTGTACCTACTCTGTGGGTCTGTTTCAGTCTTTACAGATGTTTTGCCAGTCTTTCTGTAGATTAGAATGGTCCATGTGGTCATAACCATAACCAACTGTCACACACTGAATTTCTTGGGTTTTATCACTTAACACAAATGAACATAAAATGTGAGTTCAATTGTCTAAAAACTGAGTCATTGTTAGGACATTATTCTTAACTGGATGCCCTTTATATCATAATATTCATTCACACCATCACAAAATTTAAATAAGTTGCATTAAAATTTTGCTGTCACTAAGATTTAGTCCTTCATTTGTGATGCTTTAAAGCATGTTAACAAATTTGACTCATGATTATCTCCACAAGTAAATCAATTTAATTTTATTCCTTTTGGTTGAATCCACAATTTTGAAGAAGATTGACCTTCTATTAGGGGAGAAGTACAGCTTTCTTTTAAAAATAATACTCTTTATAATATAGTTGCATTATTTTCATCTTTCTTTTCTTACTTCAAACCCTCCTATGAATATACCAGCCCTGTGTCTCTTTGAAATACATGGCCTCATTTACTTTGACTTAACTTAATTTACTTGTAAAACACATGAATAAACCTGTTCAATCTGTATAATTTCACCTCTATGAATATGTTTTCAGAGCTGACCATTTGATACTGAATCACAAAATAGTCAGATCTTCCATGGGGAAGACAGTTTTCCCACTCTTATTTCTTGGTTCACTGCAATTTTAGAGCTGAGGCCTTCTGAGATTTTTGCCATTAACTTTATCATATCTATTGACATCATTCTTGAACAGTACCCATATAGGCAGCAAAGTAGGTAAGACTTCTTATGTGCAGCTTCTGATAAAGCTAAGAGTACAGGTTTTGGCTTTTTACTTTTGTTTCACCTCAGGAGAAAGGGCAGAATTGGTGGACTATGTAAACAGTTTAGATATTTTCTCCTATTAGCCTTCGGGTAAAAAACACTAGGGCATGAATTCTATGGCTAAAAAAGGGCAAAATAAGAAGCTATAATATGCTAATAAGTGTAAAATTCAGATAAAAACTAAACCAAGCACTGACTACATTTTTATATACACATTCTAAATGTTCAAGTATGTCAAGAAAGTTATCTAATCTTTCATGATTTTCAGAACTGGAAAAATAAAATAATTATGAAATTTTGAACACCCCCCAATATTTAAACATAACTTTAAGATGAACTTACTTTGAACAATTACCATTCTGAAAGGAAGGTTGTTGGAGACTATAGGAATTTACAACTATACAGCAAGGTTTAATGACTGCATATTAAAATTTAAACAGCATCAATAGACACATATCCTAATTTTTCTTCCATGAACTATAGCAACATCATCAACTCTGGATAATGATTCAAAGGAAGAGTATTTCAAAGCAACCAATTTATACAATATTCCTTCCGAAAATATCAAAGATATGACACAAACAGGTATTGGTATTTATTTGCTTGCTCATCTAAATCAATTTCCAATTGAGGCAACAAAACACTGATTCTGTATCCATATACAGTTCAGAAAGTCTCTAATTAAGTCGTTATGAATACCTGCTTCTTTGATCTATTTCACAGACTCATGTCCATCCTGAATGAATATATCAAATAGGTGAGTACTACATAATAATTATAACTGTCAACTCATTACAATAGTCCCATTATAACAGAAGAATAGTTTAAGGAAATTAAATCATTTTTTGGTATCATAGTCACCTTTCTAAGGTGATGGACCATCATTACTAAGGCAATCTATAAAATAAAGCATTTAATTCATGGTTTCTTCGTTGCAAAGGGTTAGAGTCAATAACCATCATGAGAGAGAGCATGATAATAGGCATGTAGACATAGTGCAGAAACAGTAGTTGAGAATTTACATTCAGATCCACAAACAGAAAGCAGACAGGAAATTGTCAATGATGTAGGTTTTTAAAACTTCAGAACCTGCCCCCAGGGATACACTTCTTCAATGGAGGCCACTCCCCCCACAATTTTTCCCAAACAGTTTCATTAACTGGGAACCAAGTATTAAAATGTAAGTATGGATGGCAAAAACAACTCCATTTAGGTCAATGAATGTAATGTGTTGAAAAAGCAATTAAATTGTTATAGGGCAAATGGTGTATTAATTTTATTTGTCAAATATACAATTGATAAAACAATAACTATGATAATTGTTTGGCTCCTCTGGGATCTTTTGTAAATTATTTACTTAGAATTGCTAAATACTTCACAATTTTCAATGAAATTCATTATTGTCTTGTATGATGTAGATCCATATGTATGTTTGGTGTTTGTGCCTCAGAAATTGGTATTTACATGTAAATTCTCCATTCACATATGAACCACTTAACCATTCCAGTTAGCATATTCACCAGAAAATATATAATTTCAAATACACATCATCATCCTATGGTCTATTTTTAACATTTTTATAACTTAGAATTTATTTATTGCCTCATTAATCATTTGTGTATATCAATTTATTTTCCCCCAAACATCAAATAATTAATAACACCTCACGTATGTATTAACTTTCATTTATAATTTTCCAGGTTATAAGAAGATTGAGACAATATTCATCAACACTTGTTCTATGGAATGAGAATCATAGATATAAATTTAAATAATATTTGTCTTCAAAATCACACATTTAGTTTTCTTAGAAAATACACTAGTTGACTTAGGTAGTTGCTTCCATGCTGTTCTCATGTCATAGTTAGTGATACTGTGTTCCTGTATGATTAAATTACTAGATTTCACATATTTACAAATGTGTTCTAAATAAAAGTATCTAACATGCATTATAAATGAGTGATTTATAATGATATATTTTTTCTGAAGTTTAGGAAAACTTAACCTCTACCAGAACTTAGGTGCATATTGTTCATTACCTTGTATGTAACAGAAAACAAAAAAGTTTATTGGTGGATAAACATAGTGCCAACATTAGGAAATTTGATAGTCAATGAATACTCAAAAACATTATCAAAATCGTTTTTGATGTGTATTACTCCATTTACATTAAAATCCAAGAGTGTCAGACCATATAAAATAAAATTTAAAATTTAGCTATGAGAATGTTAAGGGACTAAAAATAGTCTTACCTAAGGGAGAAGACATAAATTGGTTATTCAATACCAAATGGTTGGCATTGAAAACACATGTATAACTAGCATTATACATCCTAAACAGGTTATATTTAGGAATACACAGACACATGAATGTACACTCACATAAAAAGGCATTCCCATTTGATGTATAATTCCCATTTTGTAAGTTTGTTGTAGGTAAATGTAAAGAGCTTTAGGCAAATAAGTTTAAGGAAGAACTTTTAGACCTTTTAGCTTGTTGCTTGATAAGATGCAATTTATATCTGCTAAATGATGAGGCATGAAATTATGAAAATGAATAACACACCTCTTCCCATAGTCACCCATACTTCAACAGGAGCATGCCTAGTAATCCGTCTAAAAATATTCCACTAGCTGGGGACCAAGCCTTCAAACATTTAAGCCTTTGGGGGTTCATTCTTATTCAAATTACTACATTACACACCCTGGTCTCCATAGGCCTGTAGCCACATCATAATGTAAAATTCACTTCATTCATCTTCAAAAGTGTTCAGAGTCTTTCAGTTTCAAGCCTATATAAACATCCAAATTTCAAGGTTTCACCTGAGTCTCAAAACAGTCTTTTAACTATAACCACGTGTATAATCAAAAAAGCAAATTACACTCCTTAATACAAAGTGGTAACAGAATATGTAATGCCATTCCAAAAGATGAGAGAGGCATAGTGAGGAAATACTGGACCAAAGCATGATGAAAACCAATAGTGAAAACTCCAAATCCTGCAACGACATGTGTACTTGAAAAATTTAGCTAAATGGTTTTCCCTTGAAGCTTTGAGGACTGCAACACAATTCTCTATATTAGGATGGTTCTCATATCATGTTAACATCTCTGCTTAAAAGGTATCCCAGGCTCCAGAATCTCCAACATGCCAGGATCTCCAACATAACAAACTGTGACCTTCACAGTTTCATGCAATGACTTCACCAGGTGTCTAGTGACTCTGTTGTCACATACCTGGCCTCAGTAGCTTTCCTTAATAGCAGAATCCATAACTCCTTTACTTTATGCTTGTATAACTTCTGTCTTGAAATTTCCTCTGTCAATTATATTAGTAAAAAATTTCTTCAATTTATCCTCAGGCAGTATATTTTTGAACAAGAGCATAAAGCAGCCTCATTTTTGTTAAAACACCATAAGAATTGTCTCTAGGCCACTTATTAATATTCTTTCCCTATGAAAGGTTTTGATCTTGACGTACATAGTCCACATCTTAGCATCACTGTCTTCCAAGATCCTACATGCATTGTCCATCAAGCCTATTATACTACATTCAACTGCTTTCCTAATCCAAAGTCCACATTCTGGCAACAAGCAGCATTGTCAGGTATGTCACAGAAATTCCCCAGTTGCTGGCACGGACTTCTGTTTTAGTTACTGTACTACTACTGTGAAGAGGCACCATGACCAAGGCAAGTCCTAAGGGAACATTTTATTGTAGGCTTGTTTACAGTTTAGATGGGTTAGTCTAAGTTGAGAACCAGACAGAGAAGATTGTAGAAGAGTTGTTGAAAACTTTACTCCTTATTCTCCAAGCCATATGCAGCAAGGTCTCATGGAGACAGAGCAAGAGTCTTGCCTGGGCTTTTGGAACCTCAAAGCTTACCCCTAGTTGTACACTTCCAACATGGTTATACCTCCTAATTCTCTCCAAAAAAGTTTCACTAAGTACCAGACTCTTAGTGCCATTATCATTTAAATCACCATAACATACATGTCTCATTCAAAATCCACTATTCAGTGGAGTCAGTAGAGGAGTTCTGTGAAGCTTCATGGAGATATATAAAGCTGAAGCCATGGATGAAAGTTTCTTACCAGCTTTCTCTCCATAACTCACTTGTCTTGCTTTTTCATATGGCTTAGGACAACCTGGTGTGGGAGCTCCTTACACTCCTTCAGCCAATGTCCTTTAAAAAAGGGTGGGGGAGAAGTGTTGTGAGACAATAATCTATACCCTGGCACCTGTATTTTTAATAAATACTGATTGGCCAATAGTGAGGCAGGAAGTAGAGGTGAGGTGATGAGAATTCTGGGAAGAGGAACAAGTAAGTCTGAAGCGGTCATCCAGAGGCAGAGGAAGCAAGATGTGACTGCCCTGCCAAAAAGGTGCCAAGCCACGTTGCTAACACAGACAGGAATTATGGGCTAATATAATTTATAAGAGTTAATAAGAAACCTGAGCTAATAGGCCAATCAGCATTTATTTAAAATACAAGTGACAGGGTACAGTCCATTGTCCCACAGCAACAATCTACCTAGGAATGTCATTGTCCATATAGTCTAGACACTCTTCTATCAATCATCAATTAAGGAAATGGTTCACAGATATGTCCACAGACAAATCTGATGTAAATATTTTCTTAATTGAGTTTCCCACCACTTATAGGACTATAGTTAGCATCAAGTTGACAAGGAAGAACTAAGAAGAAACGTAAGAAGAAAAAAGAAGAGGAAGAAGAGGAGGAAGAAGAAAAAGAGAAAGTGGAGGAGAGGAAGAAGAGAAGAAAGTATAGAAGAAGAAGAAAAGAAACTAACCAGCACATTTACTACAATAAAGTTGGTCTGTACTCTTCAGAGCATAAGAGTAGACACAATTCAGATATTCACAAAAGAGATAGAAATTCTGGAAAATTATAAATGATAAGATTTATCATGTAGTAATTTATAAAATGAAACATAACTCTTGATGTTCCACTTCTCAATAAGATTAACAGAAGAATAAAATTTCTTCAAAAGTAATCAAAAACATCATTGTGAATTATATTTACACTCCTTTTCTCCCACCAGCAATGGAGGAGTGTTCCACTTTATCTCTATCCTCTCCAGCATAAACTATTATTGGAGTTTTTGATGCTAGCCATTCTGACTGGTGCAAGATGGTATCTCAGAGTCTTTTTGATTTGTACTTAACTGATGGCTAAGGATGTTGAGCAATTCTTTAAGTGTCTTTTGGCCATTTGAAATTCTTCCCTTGAAAATTCTCTATATAGCTGTACCACATTTTTAATTGGATTTTGATATTATAATATCTAGTTTCTTGAGTTCTTTATATATTTTAGAGATAAGTCCTCTGTCAGATGTGGGATGGGTGAAGATCTTTTCCCATTATGTGGGATGTTGTTTTGTCTTATTGATTGTGTTCTTTGCTTAACAGAAGATTCTCAGTTTTAGGATATCCCATTAATTAATTGTTGTTTGCAGTTTCTATGCTACTGGTGTTATATTTAGGAAGTGGTCTCCTGTGTCCATGTGTTAAAGGTTACTTCCTACTATCTCTTCTATGAGATTCCTTGTGGCTGGATTTATGTTGAGGTCTTTGATTCATGTGAACTTAAGTTTTGTGCAGCGGATAGATATGGATCAATTTGCATTCTTCTACATGTTGACATCCTGTTATGCCAGGACAATTTGTTGAAGATACTGTTTTTCCATTGTATAATTTCAGTTTCTTTGTCAAAATCAGGTGTTCAAAGGTGTATGGATTAATATCAGAGCCTTCAATTTGATTGATTCCTTTGGTCCACCTATGTGCTTTTATGCCAATACCAAGCTTTTTTTTTTATTACAACACTGCTATAGTAGAGATTGGAGTTAGGTGTGGTGATGCTTTCAGAAGTTGCTTCCTGGTGTCTGTGAAGAGTTGTGTTACTTGCCCTTTTTCTTTGTGGCTCTTAATATTCTTTCTTAATTTTGTATGTTCAGTGTTTTGACTATTATATGGTGATGGCACATTTTCTGGTCCTGTCTCTTTGGTGTTCTGTAAGCTTCTATTACCTTCATAGACCAATCTCTCTTCCATCTCTTGTAATCTGTTGGCTATGCTTGTATCTGTAGTTTTTGTTCATTTATTCAGATTTTCCATTTCTAGAGTCACCTCAGTTTTTATTTTCTTTTTGTCTCATTTTAATTTTCATGTCCTTAGTTCTTTGAACTGTTTGCTTCATGTTTTTGATAGTTTTTCTTGGGCTTTTTGGCTTTTAAGAGATTTATTGATTTCCTACAACTTTTTCTTTTCCTCCATTTTTTAAGGAAAATTTTTCATTCCCTCTTTAAGGGTTGCTTTCATCTTCATAAAGTTAAATTTAAGGTCATTTTCTTCTGTTTCAACTGGGCTAGGTTGTTCAGGTCTTCCACAGGTAGTAGACAATTCAAAAAAAGTGTGTATTCTAGACACAGCAGGACTGTTGCAAATATTAACTTTTAGAGACTGTGATAACAAGAACGATGTGTACTAGTTCAATACAGAAAAAAAAAATGACCCTAAAGAGAGAAAAGTGGGCACAAAGTCTCATCAAGAAGTTATTTGCATATGGTACCATTGAGAGAGGAAAGATCAGCTGTCTTAATGGCATGTCCCTGGATATAGTAACCACATGCTCAGGAGCGAAGGAGAACATAAAACGAATTCTGCTTGTTTTGTGTGTATATATGTTTTCATTTTATTTTTGTTTTGAGGCAGAAATAATCAGGAATTTTGTTGGGTTAGAAAATGGCTTGGCATAAGCCTTCTAGAGAAAAAGAAAGCCTGTCTTTCTTTGTCATGGCAAATAAAGTTCTCTAAATATTAAATATGTCCATGTATCATTAGCCTTTCTTCTGCTTTGTGTTGCCCACATGCAACTAAACTAGAGGTCCTAGGGGATATACAGAA